GAGCTGCTGTGGGGAGGCTGCGCAGTGGGTCACTGGGAGCTGCTCTGGAGAGGCTGCGCAGTGGGTCACTGGGAGCTGCTCTGGAGAGGCTGCGCAGTGGGTCACTGGGAGCTGCTCTGGAGAGGCTGCGCAGTGGGTCACTGGGAGCTGCTCTGGAGAGGCTGTGCAGTCACTGGGAGCTGCTGTGGGGAGGCTGCGCAGTGGGTCACTGGGAGCTGCTCTGGAGAGGCTGCGCAGTGGGTCACTGGGAGCTGCTCTGGAGAGGCTGCGCAGTGGGTCACTGGGAGCTGCTCTGGAGAGGCTGCGCAGTGGGTCACTGGGAGCTGCTCTGGAGGAGGCTGCGCAGTGGGTCACTGGGAGCTGCTCTGGAGAGGCTGCGCAGTGGGTCACTGGGAGCTGCTGTGGGGAGGCTGCGCAGTGGGTCACTGGGAGCTGCTCTGGAGAGGCTGCGCAGTGGCCGCTGCGCGCGGACCAGCACAGCGTTCGCTCCGTCTCTCCGCGACGGCGCGGGGCATGCCGGGAGAGCTCGCCGCCAGCCTCGGGCCGTGCGGCTTCACCGTGACGTCACTGCCATGGCGGCCGCCGGCTGAGGCCGAGACCCCCACAGCAGCCACAGAGCCAGAGGGTGAGGCCGGGCCGGGCCGGGCCGGGCCAGGCAGGGAGGGGCAGGGCCAGGGAGGGGCAGGGCCAGGCAGGGGGGGCCGGGCCAGGGAGGGGCAGGGCAGTGAGGGGCAGGGCCAGGCAGGGAGGGCCAGGCCAGGCAGGGGGGGCAGGGCAGGGAGGGGCAGCGCCAGGCAGGGAGGGCCAGGCCAGGGAGGGCCGGGCAGGGCCAGGCAGGGAGGGGCAGGCCAGGGAGGGCCGGGCAGGGCCAGGCAGGGAGGGGCAGGGCCAGGCCAGGCAGGGAGGGGCAGGGCCAGGCAGGGAGGGGCAGGGCCAGGCCAGGCAGGGCCGGGCAGGGCTGGGAGGTGGTCGCGGGCTCTTGCCTTGGATTGTGTGGCTGGGTCACGGTTCCGCACACGGCTGTGGGGTCGGTTGTGTTCGTTCTGTACCGCTTTACCGAATACATCACCGTGTGACTATTTATAATAGTCTGGGAAAATAATAATAATCATAATGTCACTCGCGGCGCCCGATACCGTCGAAACAGTTGCAAAGCACTTTGCAGTTCATTTGGTTGTCAAGTAAGCATGTAGCATCCACTTTAGCACACTGCCAGGTACTGCACCACAAACAACAACAACAACAAAATTACATTTGTAAAGCGCCTTTCACGTCGGGAGGACGTTCCCAAGGCGCTTGGACGGACAGAGTTACGGACACGAGCTGAGGGTCCGGGTTGGGGGGAAACAGGGACATCGAAAGCACGGTCAAAGAGGAAGGTTTTGAGGTGGGTCTTGAAGGTGGCGAGGGAGGGGGCGAGGCAGAGGGACTGCGCAGAGTGGCGGAGGGACTGCGCAGAGTGGCGGAGGGACTGCGCAGAGTGGCGGAGGGACTGCGCAGAGTGGCGGAAGGCCTGCCCGCCGATACTGGGGTGAGCAAGGCGGATTAGTGCAAAATGAGGGCAAACAGCCTAGACTGACACTGTTGGTAAGCACTCTGGCCTCTTAGGCACAAGTCCACTTTTTGGTCAGGTAGATACCAAACATACATAGAAACCCATCACATTGTCTCCTCCCTTCCAGCTCTGTCCTCCTCAACCTCCCTGGCCTCTCTCTCAATCTCTGAACCTGTGCACAACATTGGCATCCAGTTCAATCCCCAGCTTTCCTTTCTCACATCCAGTCCCTCAACAAGATTGCCATTCTTCACCTCCACCACATTGCCTGCCTCCGTCTTGTCACTATCTCACACCTAATGTTGCTGTAGCACTCCCATTTAGACTTTTCCAACATAAGCTGCGACTCATCCAAAACTACTGTTTGCAACCTCACCCACCCCAAACTCCACACGACCAGCAATCCAGTCCTCATCAGTCTTTTGGTTCCCAGCAGATCCATTTCAAGGTCCTCACCTACAAATCTGTGTATTCCTGGCACATCTTTTATATCTCTTGACAAGTTTCCACTTGTCAGATACCCAGCTGACCCAAAAAAAGGGGATTTAAAGATAAATTAAAAAGGGGGCAAGCCTGAAGGATTGAGGCAGGGAGCTTGGGGCATAGTAGCTGAAAGCACAACCATTGATGGTGGCCAATGTTAGATAAACGATGGGAGGGGGGAGGCAGAGGAGTGGGGTATGAGCAGATCGGAAAAGTAGGGATGTTCTAGGGCTTGAAGGGGTTTGTACTTGAGGGTGAGGATCTTGAAATCGATCCTTTCAGAGACAGTAGAGCCGAGCAAAGATTGGGGGTGATGGGCTTGGTTTAGATACTCTTAAGCATAGCGATGACTTTCTACATGTCAGACATTCGAACAATCCCAAAACAACTATTTTATACTGTGGTTGGGTGGGTGGATCTAAATTGGGGAGAGACTCATACAGGAATAGTGGTAGAGAAGATGGGAAGCAAGGTCACATTCCAACACCTTCGACAGGGGGGTAGGTTGGAGTAGCAGCATAATATGGGCAATTTTGAGAGAATATTTACTGAAATTTCTGATTTGAGATTTCACATCTAGATGAAGATAAATATTGAAAATACTTCTTGTACAATTCTAATATTTCTTATTTCACAACCCAAACATTGGATTGGTAATCCTAATTTGACCAATATTTTGAAATATGGAAACAAGTTTTAATATTTAAAACGCATTTTCACTTTAATTATATAAAAGAAATACATTTTGCCTAGAAAATGACACTTTACAGTATATCCTGTGAAGGAGTTAGAGATGCCCTTCCGACATGAAACGTTCCATATCAAATGTAAGGATTATTATACAATGTAGTATTTGTAAATGCTTTTTGCGCTGTTGATTATGTTTTGTGTCGGAACTTTGTCATTTGCAGACTTGGTCCCGCTCGGACATCCTAGGATATGCACTGCAAAAGTTCAATCTCTCTTTACAGCCTTTAGTATCCCGGTAATGGTTCCGCATTTAGTTTGAAAGCAGCAAAGTTCACAATTGGCTTTATTCAGTTTTACCTTTTGTTTATTTCTTCTCATAATAAGGCCGGAGAGTCCACACGTTTTGAGAGAAAGGAGGAATAATTATAGCTAGTTAATAAATATAAATAAAATGTATTTTATTTTCATTGGGGGGGGGTGGAAGGAAAGAAGTTGCACATATTTCCCTTCAAAAGCAACTTAAAACGAAGAGGCGGATGAAGACAGAGAAAAAAACCTGAAGAAAGTTGCAACTTCAGCTCTGTCTGCCTGATTCTAAAAAGGTGCGTTTGAATTGCAAGTGTGCAGAGTTGTTTATACTCACTTGTGTGTGATTTTGTGTGTTTTAGGTCTGAAACTGCGCTCTAGAGACACAGCCTCACACAAAGCAGTGGGCTGGGGGTGTGGCTGTGAGCTGGGGGGGTGTGGCTGTGAGCTGGAGGGGGGTGTGGCTATGAGCTGGGGGGTGTGGCTGTGAGCTGGGGGTGTGGCTGTGAGCTGGGGGGGTGTGGCTGTGGGGAGGGGTGTGGCTGTGAAGGGTGTGGCTGTGGGGAGGGGTGTGCTGTGGGAGGGTGTGGCTGTGGGAGGGTGTGGCTGTGGGGGAGGTGTGTGGTGCGGGGGGGTGGCTGGAGCTGTGGGGGGGTGTGGCTGTGGGGGGGTGCTGGCTGGGGGGGGGTGTGGCTGTGGGGGGGGGTGGTGGCTGTGGCGGGGGGGTGTGGCTGTGAGCGGGGGGGGGTGTGGCTGTGGGGAGGTGTGGCTGTGAGCTGGGGGGTGGCTGTGGGGGGGGGTGTGGCTGTGGGGAGGGTGTGGCTGTGGGGGAGGGTGCTGTGGTTGGCTGTGGGGAGGGGTGTGGCTGTGGAGGGGTGTGGCTGTGGGGAGGGGTGTGGCTGTGGGAGGGGGTGTGGCTGTGGGGAGGGGTGTGGCTGTGGGAGAGGGGTGTGGCTGTGGGGGAGGGGTGTGCCTGTGGGAGGGGGTGTGGCCGTGGAGGGGGTGTGGCCGTGGGGGGGGTGTGGCTGTGAGGGGGTGTGGCTGTGGGGGAGGGGTGTGGCTGTGGGGGGGGTGGCTGTGAGCTGGGGGGTGTGGCTGTGGGGGGGTGTGGCTGTGAGGGGTGTGGCTGTGGGGGAGGGGTGTGCTGTGGAGGGGGTGTGGCTGTGAGGGGGGTGTGGCTGTGGGGAGGTGTGGCTGTGAGGGGGTGTGGCTGTGAGGGGTGTGGCTGTGGGGGTGTGGCTGTGGGGGAGGGGTGTGGCTGTGAGGGGGCTGTGAGGAGGTACTGTGAGGGGGTGTGGCTGTGAGGGGTGGCTGTGAGGGGGTGTGGCTGTGAGGGGGTGTGGCTGTGGGAGGGGGTGTGGCCGTGGAAGGGGTGTGGCTGTGGAGGGGGTGTGGCTGTGGAGGGGGTGTGGCTGTGGAGGGGGTGTGGCTGTGGAGGGGGTGTGGCTGTGAGGGAGGGGTGTGGCTGTGAGGGGGTGTGGCTGTGGGGGAGGGGGTGTGGTGGCTGTGAGGGGGTGTGGCTGTGGGGGGGAGTGTGGCTGTGAGGGGGTGTGGCTGTGGGGGGGTGTGGCTGTGAGGGGGTGTGGCTGTGGGGGAGGGGTGTGGCTGTGAGGGAGTGTGGCTGTGAGGGAGGGTGTGGCTGTGAGGGGGTGTGGCTGTGGGGGGGTGTGGCTGTGAGGGGGTGTGGCTGTGAGGGGGTGTGGCTGTGGGGGAGGGGTGTGGCTGTGAGGGGGTGTGGCTGTGGGGGGGTGTGGCTGTGGGGGAGAGGGTGTGGCTGTGGGGGAGGGGTGTGGCTGTGGAGGTTGTGGCTGTGGGGCTTCCAGAGGGCCGTTGTCGTAAAGGAGCTGTGACGTGTGTGGATCCCTCTCGAGGCGCTGACGGGAAGCCCGCGCGCGCCCCTTCCCCCCCTCTCCGGACAGTGACGAGCGCGAGGTGAGCCCGGCTCTCGAGCCGCAATTTTCAAACGATGCGGCTGGTAACGGCTTTGCGTGCGGCCCTGGCCCTCGCCTCTCCCCGCGTCTCTCGCCGGACCCGGGCCCTCCGCTCGGGGCCGCCCTGCAGCCGACTGCAGCGCCCCCGCTCGCTCGCCCTCCCACTGCTCAGGGCTCTCACGTCCGGCGGCCAAGCCGCGGGCACCGACTGTTGGCGCTGCGGGGCCCGTGCGGGGTCGAGCGGTCTCCCCTTCTTCTGCCGGCGTGCGGGGCCTTACAGCCCCCGGACGAGTCTCGGGACTGGTTCGCGCTGCTGGGCAGCGAGCGCTCCTTCCGCCTGGATCAGGCCCGGTTGCAGAAGGCCTACAAGGAGCTGCAGCGGCTCCTGCACCCGGACAACTTCAGCCGCGGGGCCGAGGCGGAGCGGGACTACTCGCACGGCCACTCGGCGCTGGTCAGCGCGGCCTACCAGACCCTGTCGAGGCCGCTGTCGCGCGGCCTGTACCTGCTGGAGCTGGAGGGGGTGCGGGAGGGGGAAGGCGAGCGGGTCAGCGCCGCTTTCCTGGCCCACGTGCTGGAGCTGAACGAGCGGCTGGCCGAGGCCCGGGGCCAGGCCGAGGTGGGCCTGGTGGCCGAGCAGCTGGAGGCGAGCTGGGGCGGCTGGCGGAGAGCGTGGCGCAGGCTTTCGACGGCGGGAGGCTGGGGAGGCCGGGCGGCTCCTGTCCGAGATGAGATACCTCTCGAGCATCGAGGATAAGGTGAAGGAGAAGCTGTTCCCCTCCTGACGGCTTCGGCCTCGAGACGCCACGGGGAGAAATCAGTTTCTGGGGTAAATATCCAACGTGTGTTTTGTTGGCGGAGAGAGTTGAGCCGCTGAAACTTATGCAAAGGACCTCGGACCTCGTTTCTCCCCCCACACACCGCCACTTGATCTGCGGGGAGTTTGGTTTGGTGTGGAGAGCCTCCGGGGTACATGGCTATCATCTGCCCTCCTGCCCACCACTGGCCATTGTGGGGGCTCAGAGTACTTAGGACCTTATTTTTATCCTAATTCAAATTGCTCTTTCCAGACTCGAGTTGGGAAGAGCCGAATCAACAATGGTTATAAATTAATAATCCTCGCGTTTGATATGGTGCCCTATCACCTGGAACGATAGAAAAGTAAGTGCGGCTGCAATTTTTCTGCGGAATACGCTACACACCGGCCCCTCCGCTACAAACCTGGTGTTGAGAAGTCTCTTAAGCATTTCACAGGACACACTAAAGCGGGTGAAAGGTGGCAGCCAACTTGGGCACAGCATTGACACACAAGCAGCCATGGAGTGGCTGTTTGTGGAATTAACTGATATGGTTGGCTATTAAATAATGTCGTGCTCAGTGTGTTCTTTGCAGCCTCGTATTTGTAAAAAAAAACCATACGTACTATTGCATTTCACAAAAAATTCTCAAGGAACAGTGAAGGCAGCAAAAAGGGCAAATTTACAAACAACACTTCAGTAATTCTTATTAATGTGATTCTTATGAAGTGATTAGTTTTCATTGAAAATTTC